GGTTGGAGTCCCGGGGGAACCAGGACCAGAGGGTTCTGGGTTGGAGTTCCCGGGGGAACCAGGACCTTTCTGGGTGGAGTCTGCATGTTCTCCTGTGTCTGTGGGTTCTCTCCGGGTTCTCCGGCTTCCTCCCACCGTCCAAAAACCTGCATGTTAGGTTGGCTGGACTCCAAACTGCCCTTAGTGTGAGTGTGTGTGGTTGTTGGTCCTTGCGTGTCTCTGTGTGTCCCTGTGATGGACTGGGCACCGTCCAGGGTGACCCCGCCTCTCGCCTATTAACCACTGTGTTAGGCTCCAATCCCCCCTAGTTACGATAAGGGATGGATGAATATGGCCAAGACATCTTCCTGGCTGGTTGCGTGTTGTATTTGATATTTCTGTGGGGTTTTCGGGGGAAACTTTGAGGCCCTGTGGTCCCACATACGACTGTAGAGATTTTCCCTGAGGACCGTGTTTACTTTCTACAACTGTGGAAGGAGCAAGGACAAATCAACAAAAGTGTCTCACTCATAGGGCTATTTATCCACTTTTGTGTTGCTCGTGGCCCCACATTTAATGGACTTTACCAGGAAGAAAACTCCCACGGCATTAAAGTGGCTCTTTTCTCTCAGTTTGCTAACATGCTAACGAGCCCTCGGCTGTGCATTGTTGTGCACACTTAGCTAATGCCAACTATGAGACAGTTAGCATTAGCTATGGCTAACTAGCTGCGAGGAAACCCTTATTATGATGCCCAGCAGCCAATAGCTTCCCGGTGTGGGTGTGTTTTCTTACATAACTGAACGCTCAGTTTTAAGTAGCTAGCTGCTGGCTAACCTCTTCCTCTAGCTTGTGTTAGCCTCCTTTTTCTTTGGCTCCTCCCTCCCAATTAACAGAGGTAGTAGTTGGGAAACTTTTTAACAGCAACATATTTGTCACCGATTAATGACTGACCGTATGCGCTTTTATTATAACTCTATTTTGCAATAAACTATTAAATAAAAACAAAAATAAAGTTATCTTATCAGGCTTTTCTCTGGTGTTTTCCCAGAACTTTATTCTGAAGGACTCTCCAGCTGTGATGAGTGGAGGAAATATCATATAATACTTTAAGAGGGGGGAAAAAATGCCTCCAAGAAATACTCACCTCCTTATTTAAAAAGACACTTCTGAGGTGCTCGGTCACTTCGGGCTTCAGGGAAATTCTTGGGAAAATTGACATCTTTTCTGCCTTCAGTGAAACTTCAGTGGGTCCAAACGAAAGCTGCCAATCAGTAACAGAAAAGCAGATCAAGTCCAGAGTCCATACTGGTACAAGAGGTCATTGATTTGATGTTTTTCTGGCTAATAAACAAAGACAAAAGGGCTTAGTCGCTGTACTCTTTCCCTGGTGTGTGTAGTCCATTCGGTTTTTCTAATATTCACATCTGTTAAGGAGCACGGGATTAAGGTTCATGTTTGTTTTCCTACTTTATAAGTGACTTTCCAAGGGACCCGTTCACCTCTAAGCTGTCTGACTTGCTGAGCAGGTCATTGCTGACAAATATCAAATAACCGATCCGTCACGTAGTTAATCATCCTAAAGGTGTGACTGAAGAGAACAAAGCCGTGTCACAGTTTTCCCACCACTCCACTCCTTTATTTCGCAAGCCAAACAAGGCAAATCAGAAGAAGAATTGTCATCCGTAACACACCAGCACTTGGATCCTAATACTACATTTTTCCATTGGAAGAACACAATCAAACGGGATTTATTTCCAATGAAAAGAAATAAAAAGGCAACTTTGTTCAGAAAATCAACACATTAAAATAGATAACACAGCATTTACATATTAATTTTGTTGAAAAAAAACACAGCACAGGGTTCATAGTTCTCCTTTGAAGCAGTGCAAGTGGGCGAATGGAAAATTGACGACGCTAAGCCTCGTAGGCTTTTGCTTGATCGTTATGCGAGGGTATGTTTTACAAATCCCCATCTTAAATACTGGTTTAGAACCTAGATTATCTCCTTTGTAGCCAAAACACTTTGCAAGGGTGTCAACTGTCGAATGTTGACTACCGACTAATACTAGAGTATTAAGCATCACAGCAACAGAGGCCAAATGTATTGTTAGTTTCCCCCGATCCAAATATAAAAGAATCCCCGTAACCATCCAGAGCCTGAGCTCTTGTGGTCAGTGGTTATGAGACAGAGAAGTCCAGTGTTTAGTGGAAGTGCTGCAGGATGCGGGTTAAGACACTTAAAGCAGAAATCAGCTGCTGTTGTTCAAGCCCAAGTGAAGAGGGTCCAGTCTTCATGCCGGACGCCGGACCCCGCTTTTTACACCCAGAACTGCAGGACGAGCAGGACCGCCAGGCTCAGGACGGTCCCCAAACCGGCCGACAGGCTGCTCCCCCCGCCACTGGCCCTGCACTGCGGGATGGTGGGGGTCCACTTGCTCGTTATGTCGCAGGTCACGGACGACCCTGCCACCAGCTCGAAGCCTTTCTTGCACTTAAACCTCAACGAGGCCCGGTGTCCGTGCGGGGGCCGGGAACCTTCGACCAGCTCCCCGTTTTCCACCCGGAGGTCGGCGCACTGGACCTTGACGCACTTGGGGGGAGCGGGCCGGAAGCTTTCGTCCTCCGAACAGGAGAGCTGCCTCGGCCCGTCCAGCGTGTAGCCGTCGTTGCAGGTGTACGTCACGGTCTGGGAAAAGTCGTAGACGTCTTTGCCATCGCTGTCGCTCGTGGCGTGATCAACATCCGGGACCCGCGTGCACCGGACCGGCTCGCAAACCGGCAGCCGTTCCAACCAGCCCTGTTCGCCACACTCTATATCGCCCTTCCCGATTAAATTGTAACCTAGTCTACATTCAATTTTAGCTACGGCCCCGGTTTCTGTTCCATCGGGGTAGTTTATGTCTCCGTTGTTCACTTCTCCGGGTAAAGGGCCACAGTTAAAAGCTCCTGCCGGGACAGCGACGCCAAAAATAAGCAGAACGAAGAAAATAACGGCCATGACAGTAGCCCGAGAAAAACACCAAAAAATTAGCCGTTTTTTTTGTCCTCTTCGACTGTAGGTGGCACCGAAAAACTGCCTGGGTTTATTCCAAATTCACAAAAAAGGTGGAGCGGATTTGACTGGTTCGGGAGTTAGGTCAGCTCTGAGGAAATGCGCAGTCCAAACGTCTTTTCCCTCGGGTAACACACCTTTTCCTTCTCTACGTACCAACGGCAACAGCCACTTCCGGTTCGGTTAGCAAAGCACGTGACGGCCGTTGAAGCAATAACGCCTCCTTCAGATCGCTTGCTTCACTCACTCTTCGGCAACAATATTACAAACGCAATATTTAGCTGTCTGATTGCAATCCCGATTTAGACAAAGAACAAAAAATGGGGAAAATCAATGATGTCTCCGAAAACGCCGAAGCCCAAATGTGGAATAGACTTTGAACGTACGATCTTAAATTTGAAGTTGAACAACTGCATCCCCACCTACAATCACCCAGGCGTAAACTCACGTACACAATAAATTAAATTTCTCCAAAAATTGGAACTTACTGTTTTAGTATGGTTGCTTCATCCGGATTGTTGTTTCCACTGCATGCTGCGCAGCTACTTCCGTATACGTCACCGAGTTAGTGGCGTGGATATTATTCTGTAAATTGAGAGATAATCCAAAAAGTATTATTCCAAAAGCACAAAAAGCAGTACTATTAATATCTGTTCAAATATCACCAGCAGTCAATTATAAATGTTTGTTCATGTTCCTAAATGGATTTTAATAAGTTGTATTTTGTTTCTAGCTTTTCATTTCATGAAAAAAAATATGCGCATATGCTTACTGTATATTAGAATAGATATATAAATATTTTTGGAAAAAATATATACCTCTTTTAACCTACTTTTAAAAAAGAGAGAGTCAAACGAACGTATTTAGCGTCATCACGTGACCGGAAAAGGAGTGAATAGTTGGGGTTACTTTTCTCACTGTACCACCGCCAGCAGCTAACGGGCAGAAGAAGAAGCCGTAACCAGGTCTGGGAGCACGACGTGACGCTCTCTACCCTGTGTTTGTTCGGTTTATCCACACTCGATGATACCCTTGTTTTTTGTCACCATATTTATGCTCACGTTAGCTTCGTTTTAGATAGTATCCCGGCGCATGGAGGCTGCTTTTAACACCTTGGGGCGCTATTTTGCGGACAAAAAATCGTCCGGCTAATGTTAGCCAGCGACGGTTTGGCCACTGGACTGCACGGTGCGCTGAAAAAGAGCGGACGAGCCGAGGGCTGCTGGCCGCCCCGCCGACGGGACGTACGTTGACACGGAGCCAAACGATGGGCCTCATATTTGCCAAACTGTGGAGCTTCTTTTGTAACCAAGGTGAGTGCTGACCTCGCGCTAGCCGCTCGAGCGTCGTCAATGGTAACCGTTAGCTCGTTAGCGTAAAGTGAGCCACAACAACAGATGGGGGACCAATTATCTCACGACGCATCTGTGGGACTCCTTAGCTCTTTTCTGCCTTTGAAAGGCAGCCGAACAGTGTCTTTTTTTCGACTGGAAACACGGCAACTGCTCCGTGGAAACGTGTGTCTTTTATCCACCCAGATCTGGGTTTAATCTGTTAATCAGTTTGTCGACCCACCGGGAGAGTGTGTGCGCTCATCCAGTCGTCCACCGGCTTTGGCTCACTACCCGGGACACCGTGCGTTGCATAACTCGTGCACGATCTTGGAAAAGTTGTTTACAGTAGACCCGTTTGCCACACTATTATTAGTACTTTAATCTAAGTACACCACAAGAACACCATGAGAGATTATTTCAATGTATTTTACCGTAACTCTTATAAAAGAGTGATATAAGACACTTGTAATGTCCAGGGACTGGAAATAGGGACGTTTTTTTGTTAAAATTGCATTGATCTGTGTGGTTCTGTCCTGAACAAAGATAGCAACTTTTGTACTCTAATTCTGGGAAAAAAAGTTTTATCTTCTTGAAAAGATTACATCGAGTTCTGACTGGCAGCCAAAAGCATTTAATCAGGATCCTGACTAGACAAACACAAATGTAACCAACCAAACAAGAAGTTATGTCTGTCCCATCCAAGTAAACATACTGGAAATGTCTTGTTTTGATCCAGTGCTAATCAAAGGAACATTAAGGGCTCTTTGGCCAGCATAAAGTGGCCTTCAGGGTTATCTGTTTGTTTAGAAAACTTGTTTTTTTCTGTCAAAAGAGTGTTAGTCCTGTTTTAGGGACGTTTTATCTTCTATTTCCGATCTTTGCTGTTCAGCCCCTCTTTCAGGAAGCAATACACATCGTGCACGGCCGTCTGGAAACCAGCGGCTATCTAAAGTGGGAGTCCTCTGACCGGGCTTCCTTCCTCTCTGCATCTGATCTGTCATGTTTGCCAACTCCCCCCCCCCTCCATTCTGCAGCGTTTATTTAAACGTTTGTATTTGCCGGTGGTTTAAAACTGTGTCCAGAGAGAGAAAGAAACTCTGCCGTGTTGTTTTTTTATGTCCCGCTGTGACCG